CACTACGGGATTTCGCATCCCGCTTTGATCCCGTGTTAAACCCCAAATCCCATCGGATCTCACAATCTCGAAATTCTGATTCAGTTGCCAAAAAACCGTAAGAGAATCCTTTCCCTCTGTATAAATATGGAAGCATAGAGACTCAATTTCCCTATAATGAGTCCAAGATCCTTGCGACCTTGTTTCCAGAATCCCTGTATCCCATCCTCGCATCATAGGGGAACCCTAAATCGCGTTCGTCATCGCCGGCAGAGAGAGAAAATTTTATCGTTTCTTAATTATTAATTTTTAATTAATTACTTATTTTCATATAGTGGATGTTGTCTTAGATATGTAAATATATTTTAGGAAAATTATGTATAACTTAAAATATATTGTGCTTAGAATGAATTAAAAATTGATTAAAGTGTCTGATTCCAAAATACGTAAATTAATATATGATAATATTTTAAAATCTCATGCATATATATAAATTTTGCAAAAGAACTAAAATTGTAAGAGTTGGTTAATATTTATTTTAATTTTTAATATGATTTGAGTTATTTCAATAGAAGGTTACATGCATAAGTAGTTTATATTTTTTTGAAGCTCATGAACACATCAACATTTACAATAATTAAAATATTTATGAATTCTAAATAACTTTATAATTTAAATTTATTGAATGTTAACTGAATTTTTTTTTAAATAATCTTAAAATTGAGAATCCAGATTTGCTTTGGTATTTTGATTATGGTTATATTTAGTTTCACAAACATAAAAACATAAAATTGAAAAGAAAATTTAATATTAAGAAAACAAACAATTTTAATAATGATAAAATATCATATATCTGGCTCATTAAACTAATTTTTAATTATTTGATCAAGCAATGTTTATTGTTAAATTTATTTTTAGTTTCTAATATCTCTTAAAAATAAGCACTACACAAAATTTTGATTGTATTTGAAAATAATATTATATAAGTAAAATATAATTTATAGATAATTTTATATAATTGAAAGATATTATATTCAACTAAATATATGAAAATAAAAAATTCAATTATACTAATTATAAACTATTTTATTACTCTAAAGTATATTTTATGTTATTTAAAAATATTTTGAAATGTATTATTACTATTTTGTGAATTTTTTCTTTTTATGAAATCATATTATATATACATATATTTTTCGTTTTCAATTTTTTATGACATTAAAAAAATCATTTTTATAACATATATTTTTGGAAATTTTTGAAAAGAAAACTAAATAAAATAATTAAAAATATTATTTTTAATCCATTAAGAGTATCAGTGTAATCAACCATCGTGAAAGTGAACGTGAGAGCGACACATAGGAAACTGACTTTTCAAATAATATTAGAGAGAACTAATTTTTAATTATTTGATCAAGCGAAGTTTATTGTTAATTTTTTTTTTTAGTTTTTAATATCCCGTCAAAATAAAGTACTACACAAAATTGTGATTGTATTTAAAAATAATATTATATAAGTAAAATATAATTTATAGATAACTTTCTGTAAGTAAAAGATATTATAGTTAACTAAATATGAAAAAATTAAAAAAAATCAATAATACTAATTATAAACTATTTTTATTACTCTAAAAGTATATTATGTTATTTAAAAATATTTTTAAATGTATTATACTATTTTGTGAATTTTCTTTTTTTATGAAGTCATATTATATATACATATATTATTCATCTTCAATTTGTTATGACTTTATAAAAATTCCTTTTTGTTATTTATATTTTTGGTAATTTTGAAAAGAAAACTAAATAAAAGAATTAATAATATTATTTCAACTATTTTTAATTTATTAAGGGTATCTGTGTAATCAACTTTCGTGAGAACTAACATGAAAGCGACATTGAACCGGCTTAACCGGAAAGAAGAACCTTAATAATTACGTTTAGGAAGATCAAGTATTGGTTTAATATACATACCAAGTTTAAACGATTTTAATACTAGTACCAAATCACTTGCACAGACTGGTAGATATTGGTTTAAACTTACAAGATCGAACCGCCGATTGATTTTATTTATAGAAAGACTGCAACAAACTGAACAGGCTAAACCGGAAAGAAGAGGCTTAATTCCGGTTAGAAGAACAAGTGTTGGTTTAACATACACACCGGTTAACCCGATTTTAATAACTAATACCAAATCACTTGTACTGGTAGATTTTGGTCTCAAATATCTTGTCCTCTCTCCACCATTGGTGAATCCCATGTGCTTCTTTAAAATCTCTTGACGAGCTCATGTTAACCGTTAAAACCGCCGTAGGAATCAGATGAACCGGTGCTTCCGTATTCTTCCCTCCACTCACGACATCCATCACCAAACCGCCCAACGAGTGCTGTGTTGCTAACCTCTCTACAAAACCAGCTCCTATTTCCTCCATCTTGTTTCGGTGCTCGAAGTAGCCGATAAACTCCGAGCACAAGTGGTCCCCCGGGTTTACGTAAAGCCGTGGAAACCAATCGGATAAGGCAGCAAATGGGTCGGGTGGTGCTGGTAATGCACGGTGGTTTTGGCTGACTTGTTGGGTGGCTTTTTTGGCTAGAGCAAGTCCAGCTGTGATCACACTGCCTGCATTATAGATATAGCTAAAGTTAATATGCAGGACGTAGACATTCCGGCTACTCGGTTTGGTACGGTATGGTTTATCTAACTGAAGAAATTGGTATGGATGATTGAAAGTTACTTGCCTGCGATACGTATCCCATGTTTGATCCTCTTATCTTTGATTCTTTCGATAGGAGGAGACAAGAAAGGCGGGTTAAAGGCAAAACACTCAGGCAAAACTCCGGTTCTAGCGATTGTTTTCCCGGTAAGCAATGCCATGGAAGCACCAAGAGAATGACCAGCAAGCCACACATTGGAACAACCAACCGAAGCCACCATGTTTCTCACAGCTTGCATAGCTATCTCAAACCGTGTCGTAGTGTGCAACCCGTTTTTAATGATGTGGATGTCTAACTCGATGTCCCGGGAGATAGAGTCTGCTTTGTTAACCGTTCCTCTGAAGGCAATAACGAAACGCGGACTCAGTTGTTGGGACTTTACGGTATGAGAAGGCGGCTTGTACTCGTAGATTCCTCCGAATATGGAGAAGTCAGCGTCGTCTACAAGCTTACGAATGAGGCGGAAATGGAAAAACTCAGACCATGGTGGAGATAGAGCTAGCTCGGGACCTTCTCTTTGTAGCTGACGGTCACGCTCGGCTACATAGATTCCTTGGACCAAAGAGGCCGCTACGGATCGCCTGTGGTGTTCATTAGCCCTGGAGAATCAAAAAGACAGTTAAAAAACAACTCTCTGGTTTTTAAAACATAATTAAGTGCATACGGTTAAAGCAGGCTTAACTCTACACTAATGGTGCCAGAACAATTAAACTAACTCTTAACAACATGTCCATGAACACAAAGATTCATTTTTTATAACAAAGAAACCCACAAAGAGAAGATGGAGAGAAAGATAGAAACCAATCTACAGATGTTAAGTGTAACGGGCCAGTGAGGCTGAAATCATCTCTCTCGCAAATCATTGGTCTTCACTTCCTCCTCCACTGTTACTCTAATCTGGGAAAGCCTAAGACATATAAACAACAAGTGTCGGTGACAATTATTCACAGTTAAACATAAGTCACATGTAAAAATCTCAGGCTAAAATCCTAAAGAACCCTAATCGTAGTGAAGAATAATGGAATTCAACTAGACTGAAAAACATTTTAAAAAATATGGTTTTGCAGTGTGCTATCACTAGGAATTAGGAAATAACAGAAAAAAAAAAGTTCAGAACAAGGAAACGACATTATCCAATATCCAATCACAGAGACGAACTATAGAGACGGAAAAGGATGAACTGAAACTTGACGAACCTTGAGAGGCGGATTCAGATCTGGAGTTTGGTTAGTGTCACAGCGTTGTGATGTTTATAGAAAGGAGTTAATGGCGGAAGAGAGTGGTCTGGGGGCGCTTCTTCTATCAGAAAACCCCAGAAAGAGACATTTCAACTCTCTATGATATCGACGCGAATACGACGTCGTATCGGCTGCAAGGTACTTTTGCCGTATAGATCTAAACATTTGCTTTGTAAGTTTGGTAACCAATTTGATTTTGTTTATTTATATCTGGGGTCGAAAATCTATTTCCCACGGTGATCTATTTCTCCACGACATATCATATATCACTAAATATTCATGAAACTATAACTTCGTTTTATTTACGTTCAAATATAAAGTTCGAATTTCTCCACCAAATCAAAGTTATATTGATATTTCCTTGCAGTTATAAAGATCAAAAATCTAAAAAAATCCATAAAATCTATTTTAATTGGTTTATTGTTTGTAAACAAACTGTAAACCATATTAAGGTAATGACTAATTAGATTAAAATCCAATTAGTCAGATATTTTTATGTTCGAATGTTTGGTCAGGTTGCTGTTTTGATCCCGATCGGGATTTGGTTGGGCTTTTAGTTTTGTTATGGTTTAATTTTGCTCGGTTTTGTTATATGCAAGTGGAGAATTAAAATTCGATTTTCAGAATAATCAAATTTGGTAGAGAAATAGGTTTCAAACTTTATTCTCAGAAATAAATAGAACGGAATTATAGTTTTGTAGACAATTAATACTTTTTTTTTGTCACACGTAGATAATTAATGCTATATGATATTTTTTGCGGGAAAATTGATTGTCACCCCTATACTTTTTTTTGTACTCGGTTTGCAGTGATCAAGACTTCTTTTTTTTGTTGATTTTAAGATCAGAAAAAATTACACCAAGACTTCTTTTTCTTTGTTGATTTTAAGATCAGAAAAAAATTACACCGACTGAATTTACAAATTACTTAACCTGTGATTGTTATCATTTTATTAATAATGATAAAAATACACAAATTCAATATTTTCTTTGAATCAGCTTTTTCCTGTGAGTTTTTTTAACATATGGTTGAAGAAAGTAAGAAATTTAAGAGGGTTAATGAGAAATCTTCAGGCTTCAGAGGAATCATATCCATAAGGATTATTACTAGTCCAGTTCCACGAGTCCCTGCACATCTCGTCAATCCCATATTTGGCCCTGCGCATTGTCACAACCCCAATTCAATGTTAAGACACTTCTGTCAAGTCTTGTGTATGATGACTAAAAGAAATGAAACTTACTTCCAGTTTAATTCACTTTCTGCTGTCTTTGTTGAGGCATAAACAACTTCAGCGTCTCCTGGACGACGACCAGCGATAACCAGAGGGATTTTCTGATCGAGAAAGGATAAAGAACAAGTTCCAAACTTAAGCATAAACAGGAAACAAAACATGATCAAGAACCCAAGAACAAAAGAAAGCATCGTGTCTTTTTACCTTCCCAGACGCTTTTTCAAAGGCATCAACCATTTCAAGAACTGATGTTCCATTTCCAGTTCCAAGATTGTACACTTCACAGCCTGAATATAACAAACAGAGAGGGTTACAGAGTTGGAGTATAACTCACAGTAGATAAGAGAAACAAAAGGAGTTGTTAGTATCATCATACCGATTTTGCAATCTTCTAGCTTACGCAGAGCGGCTATGTGACCATCAGCTAAATCCATTACATGAATGTAATCTCGAACCTGAACAAAAAAAAAAAAGAGATGAGAATAAAATGTAGAAAAACTCTTATTTATTTATGAAAACATAAAGATAGACATGCATACCCCTGTTCCATCTTTTGTGTTGTAATCATTTCCATATACAGTGAGATGAGGTCTCCTTCCAACAGCGACTTGTTGGACAAAAGGCATGAGATTGTTTGGAATACCCCGAGGATCTTCACCAATGTCACCACTAGGATGTGCACCAACAGGGTTGAAATACCTAAGCAATACGATCTTCCATTCCGGGTCAGAGACATATACATCACGACAGATCTCCTCAATGAATAGCTACAATAAACCAAACAGACAATATATCCATAACTTCAGATTCACTTGCTTAACCAGAAAATTTAAATGTGCTTTGGTTAAAAAATAGTCCACCTTTGTTCGTCCATATGGGTTCAATGCAGAGATTGGAAACTCCTCTGTGCAAGGAACTTCTTTGGGTGAGCCATACACAGTGGCTGATGATGAAAACACAAGCTGGAAACAGGGTAGTAATCAAGAGATCAAACAAAGAAATAGAGAAAATGGTTTCAGAATGAGGAGACATGTGGTTGGAAAAATCATACATTTTTGCAGTTGTGTTGAGCCATAACTTCCAAAAGCGTAATAGTCCCAACAAGATTGTTATTATAATACAGCAAAGGCTTGTCTACACTCTCACCGACTGCTTTAAGTCCAGCAAAGTGTATCACTGCATCAAACCTGTTCATAGAAATAATTCCACGTTCATTAATAAACTTAAACTCAATCATATGCATAAACTAAAATCATTGTTGGTGATAAAATGAAAAAGATAGAAGATGGGCTTTTTTCTCTTTACCATACTTTGTTTCTGAGAAGATCTTCTCAAGGGCAGGTCTATCCCTGAGATCAACCTGCAATAATTAAAAAAGATAAGTTTTAAAGAAAGAGAATCTTCTGATGCTAATGAAACAAAAAAATCTAAATTCAACAAATGGCAGTCCAGTTTCAGATAGAACAGAACTTTGGTGAAGTACAACGATAATATTATCTTTTACTCTTTTACATGGTGCTGACAAATTTGTTCCTAAAGTATTAAATTTCTCTTAAAACATTATTTTCTTTGCTTCAAAATATATAAAATTTTGATCAAAACACACAAAAGTGAAGAAAAATATAAATTTTAGAATGTTAATCTAGACTAATTAACATAATAATATAATAAACTTCAAACAATAATAATATTAACATAATTAAAAATATTTATATTTAGAAACATCAGACATTATTCAAAACATCAATAGCTAAATTCCACTACAAATGGTGATAACTACTAAAATAAAATAACAAAATTAGCTAGAGCTCTCCAATATCAAAGAACTTCGAAAATAGATCTTTTTATTCACAGAATTTTATGCCTTAAACAACAGAAATAAATAAATAAATAAAAGAAGCCGCATCCTTCAGTAGTCAAATAGATGTTTAACAAGTCAAACCACAATCCAAATATTCGTTGAAACCCTAAATTATTAGAAATTATTCAGTTACACGTTACATGGCCCCTAGAAAAAAGCGAGATTCACCGAACCTGGTGGAAGGAGAGGCGTTCACCGTGTTCGGCGGCGAGTTTCTTAACGCGCTGGAGAGAAACGGCAGAAGAATTGTCGAGGTTATCGACAACTACGGCGGAGTAACCACCGGTAAGCAGTTGAAGCACCGTGTGACTTCCGATATATCCAGCACCACCGGTTACCAAAACGTTCTTAGACACCATCGTTCACTAGACTTAGCCAAAGATTAAGGAAAAAAACTGTTTTTCTTTAGCAAAAGCTTTATTTTGTTTTGTAAAGGATTTAAGAGAAATGGTTTTATAGGACTGTTCGGTTGTTTTGTTTGTTTGTGATCCAGCGAAGAAGGGTCTTGATTTATAGAAACGGCGAAGGTTACGTGATTTCACTAAACATGGAAGTTTTGATTTGAACAGATAAGTTATTATACTAAAGAACTTACTCTTATTTTTGTCTTTATTTATTTTGACCGGTAAAAAGAAAAATAAGAAATTTAATAAAACGTAGATTTGATGGGAAAATAGAAGAGAGTCGCCACGTGGTGGAGTCTGGTGTGGATGTTGGATAATATTGTGTTTCAGTTATGGAAAGTGCCCTAAAAACATCTTCTTAATTAAGTTCAATGAGATGTTAAATTAAGATTTATCTACAAATCAGCCAGACAATATTAGCGGGGTACATATGGCGTAGTTAAGCTCGCACCTTTTTGAAGAACCTTACACTCAAAAATGGCCGGCCAAAAATCAAACCGAAAATTTAGAAATATCTCCAAAATTCTTATATCCAAAAAAACTGAACCAAAAAAAACAATAATAGACAGATCCAGGCCCAAAAGAACCAACCCTAATAGACTCCACCAGATATAACCAATACATACCCAACCTAATAACACGAATATACAAAACTCTAATTTTTTATTTTTTTTTATATATTTTAATTTATAATTTAGTTGAAATGTCTTTTTATTGGCAATCTTTATTTTTATTTTTATAACATCTTCAAGTAATATGAAAATTTAATTGTCAAATTTTTAATTTAAAAATGTAAATTTCAATTATTAATAGTTTATTTTGTTATTTTACATAATTTAAGATAAATATGATAATTTTCATTAAAATTTTGATGGAGTTTAGGTATTTTGGATCTTGTCAGATCTTAAATGCCCAAACCCGATCTGAACCCTTTACGGATCCAAAAAATACATGTATTTTAGATTTTAGTTATAGATTTGAACCATTCTGGACCTTAGAGAATATGACTCAGATCCAAACCAAAAATTTTGAAATACTTAGTTCACATGTATATGACCCAAAGAACTAGGACTTGAAAGGATTCGATATGAATCCCATGCGAAGACCTGAACGCTCAGATCTAATTTTGTTAATTGATCATTTAATCGTAAAATTACTTTACAAACTTATTAAGTATCTATCATAAAATATATTGATATTTGTTGATGTAGTTACTAAAAAAAACAAATTGTTAAATACTGAGTTGATAAATATTTATTTCTTTCTTAAGGTAAGATGCTTCGAAAATATGTTTTTTTTAAATATTCAGTATTTTGCATTTAGATAAAATTTAACTCTATTAACAATTATGTGTCGAAATTAATTTTGTATTCATCAATTTTTAAAATTTTAAAATTTATTATTAATTTATGTAACAAATTAATTTTGGGAGAATTGCTAATAACAACTAAAAGTTCAAGTCAAATGCAAAAGTGTACCTCACTTCCAGTTAAATGCAAAACCAACCTGAAAGAGTAGGAAAATGTCCATTTAGCCCTTATGATTAAACAAAAAATCAGAATGATATTTTACATTTCTATCCTTATGAAGTCTACATTTAATAAAGAGAAGTCTACAAGGTGTAGATTCTCAAATCAACAATATAGAGTTATTACGAAATCTATATTCTAAGTTAATCTTATAATTTTATTTTTAAAATATATAAAATAAACTGTGTGAAATTTCTTTCCAAGTCACCAATATAAGAATCAATATGAAGTATACAAATTAAAATTTGATATAATTAAACAATTTTAAAGAATATATATTGATTAGGTAACTATGTGTTTGACAACGTTTATGGTTTTAGCAAAAGATGTTCTAACTATGTGTTGTAAGTCTTAGATCTATAGATTTTAAATGTGTATTTTTATGTTTATATTCAAATAAAGTTATAATACAAACTCTGTGCATTTACTTTGCTACTATTTTATCTTATAAATTCTATTTTTGAAGATTTGTTTTCAGATTAAAAACTATTTTTCACATTTTCACATGTACATAATTTTCAAATCTGAAAATTATCCGATATAGTAGACTTGTAATGAAGTCTACAAAACTAGGAGTGTTTTTTTTTTTTGTATTATGTTTTCTCTCATAATTTTATCTTTACGTTGCTAATATTTTCTTCCATGGTTTTTATCTAGTCCTCCCAAAAATGAAAGATTCACATTTTCAAATATCTAGATTTTTGCAGATCTGAAAAAATTTATCTCATATAATAGACTTTGAAGTCTACAAGGTTATGGCTTTAATTGTTTTTTTCTTATTTTTTTCATAGTTTCATCTTTATTTTGCAGGTTTTTTCTTTCATGGTTTTTTTCTCTTCCACCAAAAATTGTAATATTTACATCTATAATGTGTGTTTTTCTATTTATATTTAAATAAATTTACATACTCAAACTCTATGTCTATAATTTACTACTAGTTTATTTTACAAATTCTATTTTCTAAACTTTTTAGATTAAAGTTGTTTTAATGTTAGTAATGTATATATTTTTCAGATATAAAATTTTTCGGATTGAGTAAACTACAAAAGAAGTTTATTAATCTTAACTTTTAAACAGACTTCGTTAGAAGTCTACTCAAATATGATTTTAATTTTTTTGTCTTATATTTTCTTCATAATTATATTTTATTTTGCAGGTATTCTCTTCCCAGGTTTTCAAATCACCTTCCCAAAAATATAAGATTTACATATATTCATTTAAAAATTTTATTTTGTTTTCTTTATATAAAACTAAATTTATAGATACAAGCTCTATGTTTATACTTTGCTAATTTTAGCTTAAAACACTATTTTGAAATATTTTGCAGAAAAGACTATTTTCAAATTTTGTAATTGTACATTTTTAGATCTGAAATTATTTTTGGCATGAAGTCTATTTAAAAATTAAGGCTGGTAGACTTTAAATAAAGTCTATTAAACCCATAAATTTTAAGTAGACTTTTATGAAGTCTACTAAAATATAATTTGAATATGTTTACTTTATGTTTCCTCATAATTTTATCTTATTTTGCAGGTACTCTTTTCCAAGATTTCATTTGAGATATCAAGATTATGAATACGCACACACTCTAGAGTTTTTAAGAAATTGCTTCGTAATAATTTATCTTTAGAAAATGTTCATTTTTAAATAAATATTCAGATACATAATCAATAAACATTGTATTGTTTGTTTTTTAATTTTGTTGCACTTGTATGATATTATTAATTCTTGTTAGCAATCAGTTTTTCAAAAAATACTCAGTCAGCCAAACAGTTAAAAACCACCATAAGCTAAAACAACAACTAACATACACAATACTGAATGTGTTAAAATTATGTAATCTGAAAACTTGTTTTATAGCAATTTTAGAGATTACACAAAAGAGACTAATAATACAAACTAATACAACTCCAATAATAATAAAAGAGCGTAGACTTTAGTGTTTGTCTACTTTCCTACCTGTGGATTAATAAAGAAGTCTGCTTTTGTTGTACACATTTAAAAAAAGTCTAAATTACGGAAATCAGACTTGTTTAACACTACATAACAATACCAAAGAAGCCTACAAATTAAACATAAGTTCATACACAACAACAGGTTACTGAGCCATTTCCTGTGAAAAAAAATGAAAATATACATAGTTAGCGATCATGTTTCAAAAAACTATAAAGTAGACTTACCAATACGTCTACGATTATTAGCTAACTACATGATCAAATTAAAAGTATCATAATTTCATAAATATAACATATTTTCTTTTAAAAATCACTCAAACATATTAGGATTAACTAACACACACTGTCAAACAAAAAAAAAATCTTGAAAAAACATAATGAATAATACACAAATTACTTTAAATATATTTTCAAACAGACTCCATAAGCAGTCTGCATAAATGTAGATATTCGTTACAGTTTACACATGTAGACTCTATATCTAGTCTTCTCTTTAGGTTAGTTTTTGCAATTGAAACTTTTACGGGTTACTTTCTATATTTGAAAAAACATTGTGATTTTATACATGTAGACTCCTATTTCAGTCACATATCAAAAATGTTAGTTTTTTCAATTGACCAAAAATCACCCAAAATTTGACTTACGGAAGTAGACATTAGCGGCAGTCAACATGTTGGATTTTTTTTGAAAGAGGTTAGTTTTGAAATTGACCAAGTTTGACTTTCTATTAGTAAATGGAAACAAATGTCTACATACCTGTTGACTTCACACAAAGTCTACCCTCAAATATGGGGGGTTAGTTTTGCATTGGACCAAAATAAAATAGTAGACTTCATGTGCAGTCCACCTTTTTTCTGAAATTAGTATACTGAAGTCTACACTTTTTTTTCTTTTTGGTCTACTTTTTAACATATTAGTCAAATACAAAACTAACCTATTCAACGGAGTCAAAGTTGGGGTCAATACTAAACAGACTTTTTGTAAACTTCTCTGGTAGTATACAGTCTGTAGATTGTCGAGGAAGTCTACATTGAAAAGTCAAAAGTTCGGTCAAATGCAAAACTAACTTCTTTTACGTAGACTTCTTTGTAAGTCTACCTCAGTTTTTGTTTTTGTTATCAAAGGTAATGACATAGACTTCCAAGGAAGTCTTCTTTACAAAAAAATATTTTGGTAAATTACAAAACTAGCATGTGCGTGTGGGAGTCGATTTCACCCTACTATCAAATAAATCATAAAAAAAGGAAACTTCGGGAAAACCCTAAGTTTCCAGAGGAACCGGCTATTTGCGAGAACCGCACAACGAAAATAAGAAAAACGATAACTTAGAATTTGAATGAGAATAAACGAAAATAGAGAGCAAAGAGGTTCTTATTCCGAATCTGCGTTGAACTGGTACAAAGAGAGTAGCCGAAAACGTAAGAACTAGAAAACCCTAATTGAGACGCAGCTCGCTAACAGAAAAACGGAA